ATGTCTGTCTGTCCATCCGTATGCATGTAGCAGCATGAGAACCACTGAACAGATCCTCATGTAAACTGATATTGGGGAGTTTTGCTGCAGTTTGTTGATACATTCCATTTTGGTTAAAATCATAATAATAACGGACACTTTATATGAAGATCTGTATGCATTTCTCCCAGCATCTCAAGCATAACTCGCTAAATATTTGTCAGAATGAAGAATGTTTCCAACACATTTATGCATTACATAACTTTTCCACAGTTCCTGCATTCTGTAGATAACTGGAAAGAAAAAAAGGATGTGACCTAAAGGCACCAGTATTCATACGCCATGGTCACAGTTCCTAACTTCTTCACATTCAAGTTTATGTGTTTGTCCCCATCCTTTATACTATGCTTTTATGTTAAAGCATACAGAAATGTCACCCTGTGAATGTCTCAGTGACTTCAGTTTGAACCAATTAACAAATCTTGAAACAAGACAGTGGATCAGTCCCTCCAATAGGAGCGACAGTTGAGCTGAGTAAAGTTCCTACACTTGAAAACTGAAAAAACAAAAATTATAGAATTTAATTATATTATATAATGGGATGTTACATAATGGCAATGGAAGTAAAAAGTAAAGGTAAAGTTGTCCCTGTGATTAACTAATTAAGCACTATGCCGTGAAGGCGTATGGAGGAGCAGATGTATAGATCCACATTTTCTTGACCTCAGCACTAACTGGAGGTGACTACTCAGTTTCAACCCCCTGTTGCTTTACCACCAAGGATAGAGCCCTCGATACCCATTGGATAGAAGGTTTGGTGGACCCCACAACTGGTCTGTATGATGTGAAGAAGAGAAAATTCTTGACCCTACCGGGACTCAAACTGCGACCCCTCTGTCATCCAGCCCATAACCAGTCGCTATACTGACTACACTATCCCAGCCCGTTAACATGATGGCAATGGAAGTATATTACAGAATGATATGGATCTATGACTTGTACCATTACTTAAGCTTATCGACAGAATACACAGCTTTGGTACCCCTGTGCTGCTGGACTTCTTATTTCTGCCAATTTGGAAACAAAAATATATAGACTGTCAGATTATATACATGTCGCATGGCTGGTATTGTGTTTAACCCATAATCTCAGTGCCCAGTCCAATGACATGTAAAGGAAATAGCATAACATACAATTGTTATTCATCTGAATATAGACAAATTGATTACATGTTCTGTTGTATTTGCTGTTGGCATGATGGATGTGTATGTCTATTCTGAACCGTGAATCATGTTACTTCAGGAGAACGCTGAAGTAAGTAATGAGTATATAAGCATCTGTAAGAAGTAAAATCCTTTCATTCCAAAATGGGTAACCTAATTCTGTGTACAGTGTTGACTGCTCTGGCAATGGCTGCAGCAAGCTATGTAAGTATATTCAGCAGGTATGAAGACATATTCGTAGTGGAGTATGGAGGAGCTGATGTATAGATCCACATTTTCTTAACCTCAGCACTAGCTGGAGGTGACTGCTCAGTTTCACGCCCCTGTTGCTTTCATCATCATCATCAGTAATCTGTCAAGACGACAGGTCCACAGTCTCTTCCAAAACAATACCTCCACTTAATGTGATCTAGAGCTTTCTCCTTCAAATGACAGTATCCTCTTCTGTCCTCAAGGTCATCCAGCATCTTCTTACGTCTTCTTCCTCGTCTTCTTGTCACTTCTATACGCCCCTCTATCTTTCCTTCAGTAACTTCTTTTAGAAGGCAGTTACCGCGTAAGATATGACCAATCCTATTAGCCTTCTGTTTTCTTATTTCGTGTAGGATATTGCTCTGCTCACTGACTCTAAATAACACTTCTTCATTTCTCACATATTCGGCCCAACTGATCTTCTCCATCCTTCTCCAACACCACATTTCGAAACTTTCCAGATGTTTCTGATCTACTGCTCTAAGTGTCCATGTTTTAGCCCCATAGAGAGCTATGCTCCAAATGTAGCATTTCACTAGTTTCTTCCTCAAATTAAATCCAATTTGCTGGTAAAAAGATTCTTCTTCTTGCTAAATGCAGCTTTTGCCATGGCAATCCTAGATTTAATTTCACTCGTACACCTTCCATCATCTGTTAACAAGCTACCCAAATATTTAAAACATTTCACATTCTCCATTGTATTTGGTCTATCTTTATTGTGACTGGGGTTGGTTGTCTCGAAATTTTCATTACTTTTGTTTTCTCCACATTCATTTCCATGCCATAGCACCTTCCAATTTCAATTAGTCTATCAATCATNNNNCCAATCGATACCTGTTTCTTTTAGGATCTGCATTAATTTGGTCCAGTTTACCCGGTCAAATGCCTTCTGCCAGTCTATGAAGCAAACACACAGTTCTTCATCTATCTTCAAAGTTCGTTCTGCTTTAATTCTCATCATCCCAATTGCATCCCTGGTTCCTTTTCCTCTTCTAAATCCAAACTGATCTTCTGTTGCGTCTAACCGTCTAGTGCGTTAAGGCCCTTTGCGTTGGGTGCCACTCCTTCTAACCGTCCTTCTCCGGCAGTCCTCTGAAGAGCCCTTTGGTTGCTGGTTGCAGCTGCTCCTCTAGCCGTTCCCTCTCACCTGTTGTTACTTCGAGTTGGCAGGTTGCTGCTGCGTCCTTCCTATCCAGTTCTGTTTCCCTTTTTGTTGTTCTGGTGGATAATAGTTTGCGGGGTATGGGTTATCGGAGTGCTGGGCGCCAGTAAGCTTACGGTAACGGCTTACATTTCAGGGGAAAAGGGGGAATGAACTGGAAACTACAGGTGATAGGTACCGCGTTCTCACTGGAGCGATGAGATTCGGTCTCAGGGTGAATACGGGCCTCGCGTCAGCGGGAAAGATAAGAGTGTTTATGGCTAGGCACTAACACACACTGTTTAATTAGCCAATCTTGCTATACACGTACATGTAACAGCACTTGTTGCACTTCCTTAAAACACATGGAAATCTCTCCAACGTTGGCGACCGGATCCCTGGCTAGTTAGTTAGCGGCTGTTTCTTTTAGCACAACCCTAGAATTGCACTCTCACTTATACTTTTAGCACCAAGAAAATTTCACGTTAAATTTAGAAGAGTTATCCAGAGATTGTTCCTGCAAACACTTAAACATAATTTCGGCTGTACACTTGGAGGGTTGTTCAGAGACTCCTCTCGCAGACTGACCCTGCTTCGAAGCAAGAAATCTTCGCGGCTTCAGCTCCGCCTCCGAGTTACTACCCTAATTTCTGCTGATTGGAACAATTCGAATTTAGGGAGTTAACCATAATTCTCACTGCTCCAATCACATAACTTTAATTTGGGACTTTGGACCTTAAAGTCCTAACGTCGTTTTTGACAACTGCTTGAAAAATTATACCAGTAGCGTGGGTTGCTGGCCTTCCCACTTTTGACTTATGGGGTTCAAAACTTGTCAAGTGTAACTTTATCAAAGGATCCCGCCGGTCAACTTTCTAACTGAATTTCCAGGAAAACTCTGCGGGGTGCTTCCTGTCTGGTCTTTGTAGCAGTGAAGCAGGCCCTATTCTTGAACCCAAGAATCGGGCTAAGTCACCCTTGAGTGTTCATTGCTACATCTTGTGTATAATTACTCTAAAAAGAAATATTGATTACAAATAAAGATGGTGGTGTCAGTGGTACGGCAACATGCTTTACCGTTGGGAAAAGAGCCCCAAGTACCCACTGGATAGGAGGTTGGGTGGACCCCAGAACTGGTCTGTACGATGTGGAGAAGAGAAAATTCTTGACCCTACCGGGACTCAAACTGCGACCCCTCTGTCATCCAGCCTATAGCCAGTCGCTGTACCGACTGCACTATCCCAGCCTGTTAACATAATGACAATGGAAGTATATTACAGAATGATATTCATTCATTCATTCATTTATTTTACATTGCATAGATCCACAGTACAACCGGTAGGATATGGAACTATGACTTGTACCATTACCAACAAGAACAGGAAAGTGAGGTCATGCAATGAACAGATGTTTAATCAACAAACAAGGGTTGTGAAAGTGGCCCAGGAAATTTTTGAGTGACCTGAATAATTTCAGTATTTTCTCCTTGTGTATAAATGGACTTTAAATTGCCTCTAGATACATACAACAACCTTACGGGGAGCGTGTTTACCCCATTTACCCCAGCAGTTGCTGGCCTCGGCAGTCCATAAAATCTATCATTATTTTTTTCTAGATTGTTCACCAAAGAAGGAATTGCGGTCGTATAACCCGTTTTTTTCTGCACAACACTTTAGAAGATACATACTTAGTTACGGTCAATATTTGGCCCTGACATCTCCTGACAGCACTATGCTACAAGTCGGAAAGTCGTGGGTTCAAATACCGATGAGGTCATTGGATTTTTTCAGTTGACCTAATCCTTCCGGCCGCAATATGGCCCTGGCGTTCACTCAGCCTCTAACAGAAATGAGTACCAGGAATTAAATAAATAATTTTCCTGGGCAGTAAAGTGCCACTGGCACATAAGGCTGACAACCTTACCGCCATCTTTGAGCCAATTGTCTAGATAATGTGGGACCCTCAACGTCTCACAACCCTATGGACCTTCATGGCCTGTTACAGGGATAGATGTACGTTTTCCTTTTTTTTTACATCTCCTGACAACATGTGTATTAATATTTCAAGACAGTTTTCTAAAAAAAATAACATTTTTTTTCTCAGAAACCTCTTTCTCAACAACTGCTAAACACAAATCCATACTTTTCACCTCAGATGACTCTTAATCTTCTACATTTTTTCCCCAGAAGAAATATTTTTGTCCCTTACATATAAACAAGGTATGGTTGATGGATGTTTGACCAACATGGCTACAGCTGCATTTTCGCACTGTAAGGGAGAGAGAGGTGTACTTCTGATATATAGATGAAATTGCCCTTTTGTTTATTGCAGTTTAATGTTTTCAGATCAGCTAGAGTATTATACAACAACTGAACATGATCTTGTACTATACTTATTCTTTTCAGGGACTGAAATGTCGCTCTGAAGATGAGAAAAATAATGATGAATTTGCAGAAATAGCCAAAATGTGTTTAAGTAACGTGTCTAACTGGGACAGTCCCAGCAACAGAGATGATAATAATAATGGTAGACGCAATGATAATAGACACTACAGTAACAGCGATTCCTATGATGGTAACAGGGACAGTAGACATGACAGAAATAACAGGGATTATAATAATTATGACGGAGGAAATGGTAATAGTTATGGATTGTGGAGAAGACAGCAAAATTCTGGAGGTAATTTCATTAGGTATAAAGCATTTTGATTAATAAAAGATTTCACCAAAGTATATTATGAAATATGTGCAGTTTTTCTTTGGAAATGGTATTTTAAAAACTGGAGAGTAGAAGGTTAATAATCAGGTTTCCTCTATAATGCACACTGGATTTTTATGTCCCATTCTTCATTTAAATGTCAAGGTGGATTTCATGTATCCTATTTGTGAGATATTGCTACCAAAAATGTTAGTGCTGTGGTAATAAATACGTGGTATTAATTCAATTATTGGGTATTCTCATAGCTGGGTCTACTTTCAGGATCTACCCCACAAGTACAAATATTTTTTTTAACCTGGCTTTGGGTGTGATATAAATAATTAGGTATTGTTTCATGGTAGGCTCTTGTAAACAAAGTAATTAACCTTTGGGTCACAGAGAAAATGGGAAATCTCTTGTCAGGAAAGACTGAGCTCTGTTGAGTTAATGAAAGTTTTCTGGAAGTTTAATTATGAAAATGAAATTAATTCTCAATTCATATTCGTCATAAGAGATAAATATTGTATTAGAGAAGTTTTTATGCAGCTATTGGTTGTGAACTTATCCCATTTTTTTCCCATTACACTGCATTTTAAATAATGTGACAGTTGATAATGTAAATTTGTATTTCTTCTGACTTTTCCATAGGATATGGCTACAGTGATGAATACTCAGATTTTCAGCAGAACCCATATTATAATCCCAGATCAGGGATTCGATCAAGAGGGAACCAAGATAGAAACAACCAAAGGAAAAACAATAATAGCAGTGACAACAAGAAGAATAATAGTACAAATTCTACGCTTGAAGTTGATGGGAGTTCACTTGAGAAGGTTGAGGCAGTATGTATTGACTTAATCTTACACTTATGTGCAAGTATTATATATCTCAGAGAAGCATGGTGTTAGGTTATGACTGGAGAGCCTTACCTGTGTTCTTGTATACTCATAAATTTATTTCATTTTTCAGTGCATCATACACTGTATCTTCCAAGAGATGAATATGGTAAGCTAATTACGACCTTACAAAACATACTAAAGAGTACAATAAACCTTCGTTATAATAGACCTGGATATAATGCACGAAATATGGCTGTGTACAATTGTTAATTTTTAGAGATGTTGAAGCACTAAGAAGGTTTTGTATTAAAAAAATGGGGGTTTACTGTATTTAAAAATTCTGACTAATATAAGATAGAATTATGGATTTTGGTCTAATGTTTATTTAAATTCAACAGTTAGATGATACAGCATATCCGGATAAATCAATGGTAACAAAGGTAATGACTAAGAAGATCCGTGATCCAAAAGTGAAAGATTTTATCGAAGAGTCCATTGACGACTGTTTTGAGCTGTTAGAAACTGGTGAGTGTGTGAATAAACAAAATGTCCTAAATGTTCATGTACACTACTTAAATGGTGTATATTAAACTGTATATAATTATAATAAAAGAAAAATTAAATATAATTTTATATTGCAGATAACAAAAGAAGTAACTGTGACTATTCCAAGAATTTAGCGTTGTGTCTTGAGGAGAAAGGCCGAAGGGTAAGGCATATCTATATTGAAACCATTACTCCAGATCTGCTACTAGTATCTGAATGCAAACATGATTATTTTATCATTAATGGAATGCTATGTGATTCCATTAACACCAAAAGTGCACTGAAGAAAATATTTCGTCCTCCTACCATCATTTCTGTTTTATACAGGTTGATGAACTAAAAGTCTCTAATCTCTTCTTCTTTTGCACAGTTTTCTATTTTTGCTTTCTTGCTGTGTCTTTCTCCTCTTCATTCTCTATTCCAATCCCTGGCTAAACCATCTTTGTTATGTGTTGTCTCATATGTCTGACAACTAACTCCTTGGAGCTGAGTCCTTATTGGAAACCTGACAGTTGCTCAGCCACTCAAGAAATTAGCAGCATTTTATGGAACTCAGAGACTCATTACCATGTTCACGAGAACCCCACCATTAGTCCCTACCTTTTGCCAGACAAATCCAGTCCATCCCCATTCTATTTTTGTAAGCTCCATTGTAATATTGCCCTTCCATCTATGTCTGTGTCTTTCTAGTTGTTTCTTCATTTTGGATTTTCATTAACAAAAACTCTGTATACACTCTGTCTTTATGTTATACTTTAATATTTTCTTCATAGTACCTGTACTCTATCCATTCTCTTTCCATGGTCAAACTATTGTAATTGTTTCACTTTCACTCTGTTAACAAATGTTATGCTTCAGCTCCTTCCGTAAGAATTTCATTCTAATTCTGTCCTTTCTTATTTTTCCCTCAGTGATTTATTTCAGAATGTAATATTGTTATATAGCCATTCCTCACATAACTGACATGTACTTCTAACAGAATCAAGGCTTTGTCACGTCCATGCTGGAATGTTAATCAGCAGGTCTTGGTTCTGAGCCTGGCCTTGGAAATATGTCATTTACACTGTGAATGTAACCACATATTACTTTATATTGCTGCTTGCATATATGTCCAGCAGTAATATAAAGATGCAACATGTGGCCTCTAGGTAATGAAATTTTTGATACAATAAATGAGATAACATTTTATTCACAGTGTTGTATCACATAATAAAATATGAGTTTTGTTATTTGCTTGTGAAGGTAGCTTTTGTCAAATAATGGAAATTGATTTGTGTTTGTTACTATTTTAAACTAAGACATAGCAGCTCATCAGTCAAAATTACACAAATTATCACATTTAAATCCCAGTCCTGACATGAAAGTTTTATTATTCTGTTGATATATCTGTTGTACCCAATATTGTAGTTCTTTGTTCCTCATTATTTTCTGCTTATATTTTAAGAATGGGACACATGTAACCAAAGATACAGATGTAGAGCAGAGATGATTTATGGAGATACATTTTATCTACTGTCAGCCCTGTACCTTGTGGTCTTTGATCCCCAGACAGTCATGTGGTAGAAATGGCAGTGATAGCAGCAGCAGCAGTGAAACTGATAGGAGTAGTTATTCAGAAGTCATGCAATCCAACACTGAGCCTTTAGTAGTATGCAAGGTGCTGGAATGTGATTAAAAATGCAGCAGTTGGCAACACTGGGCACAACTACTGACTCAGCCTTGCACAGTACTGTGAGGTAATCAGCCAGATGCCCATAGTGCTGTATCTGTAATGAAAGTGGGAGCACATGACTTTCTGATGCTAGAGCGTCTTCATAATCAAAACTATATTTACAACCTGATCACATGTCCCAGAAGAGTTTCAGGAAACATATCCCAATTCTCTTGTCCCACATATAACTACAACAGCATGACTACATTACATCAATAAACTAATAATGCCATCTGGTTTTCATGACTTCTGAATTGCTTTGTAGTAATATCATTTAAAAATTAGTCACATCTGTAAGATTTTCTAAGACAAGAATATTATGGATAAATGTCCCACCTCCCAACAGCTAAATTCCATGGGCAGCTAGGCAACCATTATGTGTCTTACTCGTAAAATATTTGCAATATGTTCTTTTTTTGTTTCTGATTCTGTTACAGAACTGTGATGACTGGGAAGAGCAGAGTGAATCTAAATTAAGCAACAACAGAAACAGCAGGAATCCAAAGAGGCCAAATTAATAATGCAAACCAAAGGACAGAGATTTTGGAATAACTGTGTGTTGATGATTATATAATGATATGCTACTGACATTTTATATATTCCAATTTAGATGAGCTGAACTGAATATTTAGGTGATGGCATGCAATATATATTACTGATAAGGGCACATAATTATCTTAATAAATCATAATGGTTTCAATCTTGCATTAACTAATAAAGTCTGTGATAGGATTTCAGAACCTTATTCTATTGTCACATGATTTCAATGACTACAGATGAGTTTTGGATTGATGATCGCATTTATTGGACTCTTTGATACAGTGCATGAGTATACTTTACAGTTCACTGTTACACATACATCATCATGTCATGTCTTCACTAGCCATTGCTCAGCAGTGGCTTCCAATGGCAGATGTTCCCTTTCCTCTAGGTTCCTGAACTATCCCAAGCCTCAGATACCAGCTTCTCACAGTAACAGCTCACAAATGAACCTCAGCAGTTCTCTAACTCACTGGCTAACTCAGTCACTCATCAACCAACTGTGAGAACATCCCACATTATCACACATTTTCTGCAACACACACTCTTCACATCACTTTTCACCATCACGCGCGCTAACCAATCAAATTGCTCCAAACGTTCGCATTTATACTGCGCTCGCTGCTAGCCCCGAATCTACATCATCACGCGCGCTAGCCAATCAGCGCCCTGCAAATTCTTCCTCCTCAATTTCAAGTTTCGCTCCACCCACCGAGCAGTGTATAAAAAGGAGCAGCCCCAAACCGGCACCATCAGTCTGACTTCAGTCTACAATCAAGCCACACTCAAGCAACATCAGCCAGCAGGCTTCGTCGCCAGCGCTCGGTCTTCGGAGGCATCGGCAGGTGGCGCCAGGCACGACTGCCTCGGCCCTCCGGCTCTCACACCCGATGCACTGGGTCACCTCGCCTGGACTCGCCGGTGGTCATGTCCCTGTCCAACCCACTGGGCATCTGGTGTAGCCATTGCCTCATCACTCCTACGACCGCGCTGCGCGACCACGCAACTTCAACTCACCTGCCGCATGGCGATCAAGCTACCTCCAGCAACAGCCGCGCTGTGGCCAGTCAAACCACTGTAACTAACCTCTCTCCCTACCGGCGCGCGCCATGCTACCTCACCGGTCAACATCTCAGCAACCACGGTCCTTTTCAGGACCAACAAACTGTTCCGAAGAAGTGCGTTGTCATCGGAGTAATGACGAACACAACAAAGACATAAAACCCCACACAACTAACTCAACTGACTGAATGAACTGAACTCGGTTCTCACTAACTGTCTTACTTATAACATCTCTATACAGACCACACACAAAAGACTTCCTCTGTTGCTGTTTACAATGACATTGCCTAGTAACCACCGATGTCTAGTTGTTTGTTTGCGGTCGTTCCCTAGCAACAGGTTAACATGCCATAGTATAATTATTAACAGTGGGACAGTTGCAGGGAGGAATATTTCCATTCATTAGTCATAAAGGATACTGTCTCTGGTTACATGAGAATGGCTGATGATATAGAGATTTTTACTGTATGGAAGTTTGATATTTTCAGCAGAAAACCAGGAGTCACACACAGTCATATTTGGTAAACTTGCTATTACAATAACGTTGATGTAATCGGCATTTATGCAAGCTTTACACAATGACTGAACTTAATAAAATTATCTCAGGCTCTCAGCCATGTCAGTTGGTCAAAAATATTGGTAATTTTTAGCCATATGACATGGCTGATAGCCCAAGAAGAATTTATCAATCATAGAATTTAATAAATGCAACTTCAGTAAGCTGATATTCGTCAGTAAATAGGTAAAGGTAAAGCTGTCCCTGTAACAGGCCGTGGAGGCCCATAGGGCTATGAGATGTTGAGGCTCCCACATTTTCTAGACAACCACCTCACAGATGAGAGTGATGTTGTCAGCCTTACACACCAGCCGCCCTTTACCCCCAGGAATATTCCTGGTGTTCATTTCTGTTAAAGGCTGAATCAACCCCAGGGCCACAGTGCAGCTGGAATTAGGTAAATTGAAAAAAATACACCTCATCAAGATTTAATCCTGCGACCTTCCGGCTTGTAGCATAGTGCCTCAACCAGCTACACTAGGTCAATAAATAAGACAGTTTTGATTCATGAATGATTGTTTAATTAATCTTTTACATAGTTTTCATTGGATTCTTGTGATGACTGTGTGTCTTCCACCACAGTAATTTTTCAGTCAGTGAACCAAAGTAATTTATGGAGAGTGATGTTTAGTAGCTTGCAGCCCAGTACAAGTTTGATGTTGAGAGACCAAGCAAGCCAGCAGCAGCAGAGCAAGCCACACATGGAAAACATGAGCCAGATAGGGGCCTGAAAATGAGTTCAGAGAAACCTCTATCTGAACCAGGTTTTCCACATTTGGTTCACTTTATTTTCTCCTTACTGCTACTTTTCAGCCCTGAAGTAGGAGGCAGGATGTTCCTACAAAATATTAGTGATCTACTAGACTAGATCAGATCACATCCCAGAAGATATTAGTCTTCATTGTCACTGCTGTGGGAACCTCAAATGCAACAAAATAATTTATACTTCACAATTTTAAAATCCATAATGTTGTATTTTAGCGTCCTGTTGCACTGATTCTCGTCCATGATATGTATGTATTGGCCGTCTTGTAGTGCGCTCAATCTCACATGTCACTTCACTACATGTTTCGGCATCACTGTGCCATCTTCAGGTGTGTTATTTACGTCAAGCTATTGCATTGCTCGCCATCATGTGTCGTTTATAAAATTATCTAAAATTCACACTCTTCACTAACTATAATAAAATTTATATATGTCGAAATTTGTTAATAGCCATCATCTTACACGTCTTAACTAAAAATTCGCGTACTACATCATTCTTCCACTATGGAAGTCGTTCTTCCTATATCTTGTGTATATTGTGTCTGATGTGTCCTTTTTTGGCTGCTAGCATTGATGGCACATGACACATGACACATAACACATGATGGCGAGCAATGCAATAGCTTGATGTGAATAACACACCTGAGGATGGCACAGTGTTGCCGAAATATGTAGTGAAGTGACATGTGAGACTGAGTGCACTACAAGATGGCCAATACATACATGTCATGAATTTGAAAATCATCTCCATAATCGTTATATCTCTGTATGTAAGTGAAGCACAAGAGAGGTGCTCATAGCAAATGTTCTCATGAATATAAATCTGGTACTGACTGAGGAGTGAGAATATCACACAGCATGGCACCATCTTATTTCACAGATTAGAAAACCATGCTCTATGATGTTTTAATGTTATAATATTATAATTACATATGTATTTTCTAATTGTTCTGAGATTTAGCTTTATACACAAACTGTACACATGTCCCAGCTCCAGTAACTGTACATACTGGAACAAAGATTCCAGATGCTCTCATTGTATGACACTGGAGTCCCATTAAGAGGTTTGTGAATTAAATTCTTGGTCATGTCAGCATGCAGATTTCTCTCTCAGGCTTTTGTCTGTACCGAAGATAACACTTTGGCAGCATGAAGGAGAATTTTAAGACCTCCCATGATTCAAAGCCCACATTAACCTGCATATTTTCTGTGCTATCTTTCTCATAAATATTGTATTTGAAGCCTTAAACAGATGGTTCGAAGCCAATTTACTCTCATTAAATTTTGATAAAACCCATTACATATCATTCACAACTAAAAACCACCACCAAATTGATCTGGACATCAGTTATGCCAACAAATTAATCTGTAAAGTACTTGATACAAGATTCCTTGGAATACATGCAGACAGTACACTGTCTTGGAAAATACATATTGAACAAATTATACCTAAATTAAATGCAGCTTGCTATGCGATGAGATCAATTAAGCCTTTTATGTCACAGGAAACATTGAAGATGGTTTACCATGCCTACTTTCATTCTATTATGAACTATGGATTAATATTTTGGGGGAACTCTTCACATAGTGTAATAATTTTTAAAATACAAAAGAATATAATTAGAATCATTACAGGATGTAGAAGTAGAGATTCATGTAGAGAATTATTTAAGAAATTAAAAATTCTACCTCTTCAATCGCAATACATATTATCACTTCTCTTATTTGTTGTTTACAACAAAGATAAATTCAAATTAAATTCTGATGTCTATAACATGAATACTAGACAAAAATATAACTTCCACCTACCCTCATCAACTTTATCAGTATATCAAAAAGGAGTCTACTTTACTGGCATAAAAGTGTTCAACAATCTGCCACAAAGTATTAAAAACTTGGGCAATGATACTAAAAAGTTTAAATCAGAGTTAAAGAATTATCTACATGCTCATTCCTTCTACTCTTTAGATGAATACTTCAATGTAAATAGAGAATGATGTAAAATTAAGTTATATTAATTTTTAAGCTAAAATTGCCTGTACTTATGTATGTAACCTTTTGACTTGTTCTGTATCCATAGGTACTAACCTGCTTAGGATTTATAGAATGTAAATAAATTCAATTCAATTCAATTCAATTCATAACTCTGCCCTGTGAATGCCTCCATCTCAGAAGTGGATTCTGTGTTTTTTGCCTAGATGGCCAGAGGCCTGAAAAGTCAAGCAGGATTGTAGAGGCACTAAAAATTCAACAAACATACTGCAATGTGGGAAAGCAGGTAATTTGCATTTGACAAGAATTCCAGGCAGGCAACTTAGTTGACACTAGATGTGATATAGTTCCTCATTATATTTTTATGTCTGTATTTATAACTTCATTTGTTTCCTTATGTTACTATTCTAAGAAAGTAAACAACTTATTAAGTACATGAACCTAACGCCTTACATAATACTGCATAACACAGTATACTGGGATTAAATATCTGCTTCTTTGCAAAATAATGTTGTCATAATTATTGATTTATTCTCCAGTGCTGTGTGTATTATTGGTAGTGTCTCAGTTCCTGTTAGTGTATTCAATACGAATCCTGTCAGCTGACAGGTTTTGAGTTTTCTGTGTGCTGGTGCTCGTCCTTCAAGTGATGGATGATGGGTGTCATTTTCTCCTGTACACGTTACCCAAATGCAGAGAAGGTTTAACCTTTAAATGCCAGACTACTGAAATGGTGGTAAGCTTAAGCTGGCCGGAGTTTATTTAAATGCTGCTGCTGGTGCGCTTTTAAATGCCAGTTGCTACTCTGCATTTAAATGTCCATTCCTGTTAGGGCGCTTAAACAATTTTAAGCATTGTGTTTAAAAATTCTGTATCTAACTCAATTTTTATGATAATTGGATGAAATTAACTTTGTTTGTATCAGCAAAGAACATAGTGTTGCTTATTATAACGGAAGTTTTGAAAAATTTTATACAAAGAGTTATACTCTATTTTCGATTTTTTCTTTTAATTTTGATGTGTACTGCAAAAATGGTTTCCCAGTACTCCACAGAGTTGTTGTGCATTATAAATTCATTTCTGTTTGTAACACTTGACAAATTTTAGCAGTTCCTGGTGTCATAAAACAGATGGAAGCAATAAAATCATTTGGTCTTCTGCTAGCACTGCCTACACTCTTCGGATTTTTTAATCTGTTGACTAAAGGACAGAAGAATGAAAGAATGGCTATTCAAGAGAAAGCTAGAGGGGTCCCTTCTTCAGTGTTAAGACCTTCCATTATAGCTGCAAGAGATTATTGCCCTTTCTAGGGTCGTGAACAGACAATTGCATCGTGACTGAGATACAGAGCGTGATCTGTTTTCTGTGCGTTCATAGTGAAATCGAATACTGTAGTTTCATTTCTGCCTATATATACATCTAGCAGATAACAACAAAAAAAAGTATGTACATCGAATTTTACTATATATTTTTAACTCATTAATCTGCACAATCTGCAATAAAAGTACTGGCTCATGGATGAATTTTGGCATAACTCATACGTATACTCTTTTTTGCTGTTGTTCACTTAAGTATCATTTTAATTCCTCTATTAGGGTTTTACTCAAGTCTGATAATTACTGCATTTAAAAATAAATATTTATGACTGTGCATGAGCTTCTACTACCGGCATGTGCACGCGCTTCCACTAGCGGAGTTTAAATGCCCGACTGGCCAAAACGCGGTACTTTGGCCACGATGACCATACTCATCACTGGCCCGATCAGGGCATTTCAGATGTTATAGGTTAAGTTTCCAAGCTGGAAAGAAGGGAAGTATACAGTATTTGTCGGTTGTGGAATATTTTTCACTTCCATTTACGTTTTGAATGTTGGAGGATTAGAGGAGTAGAATTTCCTGTGATGGGGTTCTGAGGCCAAGTCACAAGGGCCATTGTACACTGTCCTTTTCAGGACACTAACACAACCCTTGTTACAGCCTCATTTCTCTTCCTTCTATTTTCACTCTACTTTGCCATCAGCCCCCATTTGTGTCTTGTCTTTAAGGCTGCAAACTTTCTCACTGACCTTACTCCTGTTTGTTCACAGAGAACTCCAGACTTGGCCAACCATCTCGCATCCACGTCACGCTCTGTTATTTCCGGAAGATGAGGAGAGCATGTTCTTTGGGAACGGTCATAGACATTTATCAAACCGCAGGCGTCACAACTCAGATTTTAAGATTTTGTAGTCTTGTTACGAACTGAGCTGTTGTTACTACCACTTCCTTCGTTGTTTGATTTACTCAAATAGATGATAGCACAGTAGCTTTTCTTGGGTACATAGTTGCAAGGGCTGCAAATCAGTATGGGTCTATGGTATTTATAAATGCGTGTATGTAGAAACGTCCAGAAGGTTGGGATCAATCTTTTGACGCTTTTGACCATTGGGGGCCCGACTGTCATAGGAGAAGGGGAAACAAAGGATCTCCTGCCATCTCTACGTAGACGGACCGAACTAGATAGAACCAATAACAATTCAACTATTGCAATATATCGAATCGCATTGGTGTGACCCAATCCTAGTACACCTTTTGCAATAAGTCGACGTTGGTGGCGGTTCTTGTCGTCTGGTCGTTGGTCATAGTCGCTTATTAGTGCATATGACTGATTCTGATTGAAATAAGCACATCAGATAACCTTGCTATAGGTTTATTTCACCACATTTCTTTCAAAATATCTAACACTTTTGTTAAAGTGGTCTGTGTTGTGAGAGAAGGAGGGGAACTCGTATCGAGTCGATGTACTAAGAATCGAGTGGAGATGTAGGTCGATTGTGTGGTGTCGTCTGATTTCTTATGTTTCGAAGCATTTATACGTGTATGCTCCATACGTTCCGTATGTAACCATATGTTTAGTTGTCAGACAGTTAAATATGGGTACAATCGAAAGATTAGCTGTTGATCTTTTGCGAGTATGTCAACAAAATGACAGTGCAGAGCTGAAGATTCTTTTACATCAGGTTTGTAAATAACCTCAAAGTTTTTATTATGTCGAGGTGTTATTGTTATTGGTTTGCCAAACTTAAGTGTTTCGTTTCGTGGGAAGATTGCCAGGATAGAAAGTAAGCATCTTCCATTATAATTTCATTACAAGAATTTTCCAATTTTTAAAGAGTTCGCGCAGTAAAATTGCTGTGGCAGAAATGTGGAAGTTCTGTAGTAAAAGAAAAAATTTCAAAATATTAAATTTACAAGCCTTCTTCAACGAGAGAGAGATTTTCTATATATGGAATGACTATAAGGATTGTTAAAGAAAGAAATATCTGTTTATTTTGTATCATGATCTTTGTACTGAATTACAGTTGAGTATCTGTACAGGTAACATCTTGTATCACTTTTCACATAGTCCAGTTAAGAACTGAGTATCAGAAACTGCAACCTTTTAATTCGTTTTCAGTACATATCATTTTTTTTCCAGCTTGTTGAAACAGTCAGTACACCTGGAGACATCACTTGTCTTATTGGTCCTGTGATGAAACTGCTACCATCTCACAATACCAATGTTAAAAAAACTGCTTATTCAGTGCTGCCAAGGTATGTACATTAGAGTGAACTGTGACATAAATGTTGTGCAGTTGTTTATGATTAATATATTTATAATGCAGTAACCAAGCACTGAATCTCTATAACATGCATCCATATGATGTCTACCACCTCACTTGCTACAGAATATGTGCTTTGGTTATACATATTAGTATAATAAATTTGTAATTATGTAATTGATGTATGTTGTCTTGTTTGTTATCGACTGTTTGTGTGTCCACTGTTCGTTTAGCCATGTAAGGATCCATGGAATGTAAATGAATGAATGAATTATTGTCAGCTCAATGTAAAACGAAATTAAATGAAACTAAATGGACTTAACATAATCTATATCGCCAGTGGATCTGGATTATGTGCATCTTTGTAGGCCAGTTGCGAAAGTTATTGGCTTCAATAAAAGTGCAGTTTATGTTGGTATTAGAATTTTTAATAATTTATCACAGTTTTATGAGCATTATAAATAAAAAGTTGCATTAAAAAGATACTTGAAAATACACTCCATTTATTCTACTGTGAGAACATTTCACGCTTATAAATTATTTATAATCCAAGAAGAGGCCCCTATTTTATCAGTTTAATTCATAAGAATGTTTTTTTTTCCATTCATTTACATTTTTTTATATATTGTCACATGTTGGGTATGTCACATGACAAATAACTTCACGTAGCCCTCGGATTCAACGATTATTTATTCTCCTTTTCTTTTACGCTTATATACTCTTTACACTGTCACAGTCAATCCTGCTGTGGTCACTTCTTGACTTCACTTGGCAAATGCTAGACTTCAACTGCATTCTGCAGCGACTATCTTCCAACTGTCCTTGGCTGGATCCCAACTGTCTTCAACGGCGGCTATCCCAAGACTGTCTCGGCAAATGCATTACCTTGTTATATATCCGCGGCCGTTGCTATGCAGTGAACCTTCTGTTGTCTATCTCCTGGGAATCACTGCTTCGTTGTTTCGGCCTTCTCTATGCAACGGCTCACTGTTATTGCGTTACCATGGACTACTCCAAACACATTACATTGTTCCCTTCTGAAGGTTGTTCATCGCCGAACAGCCTAATGGTTCTTCCTTTCTCCCATTTCCGTGGTATTCATCTTCCAAACAGTACCTCCGCCTTTCTTTTGGTGTTTGACTTCCTTCCAGCCGCTCCCCTTCTTCCAGAGTGCTCGCCCCGAGCACTTCTATGGTCCAGCGGTTGTTCATTCCATTGTCTCACATCCATTCGTTGTTCATTCATTCTTGATGGAGAGGCCGGTGCTTCTGTGTTACCAGTTCTTCCCATACGGGCCGTTTCCTTTTTTCTGTTTCGGAGGGGTCAAACCCTCCACAGTGGCCAATCCTTGTTTCATCATTCCAGAGGACGCTGATACCTCAACAACGTCAAGTTTTTCCGCAACCCGACAAACATCCTGGTTGCTCTCTTCTTTCTCAGATGTAGCAGTTCCTCTACAGCTTGGTTTCTCATGCCTTCGTTGTGGCTGATGTCTCCTCCCGGACGTCTGTCCTGTCACGGTTCCTCTCAGTACGCTGTCCCTGACCCAGTTCTTTCTCGCGATTCCTTTGCACCATGCCACTCTCGCACAGTGGGTCATCCCCTTGTTGGCGAATCCCAGTCTGTTGTGGCATCTACACTTTTTCTGGGTGGTGTTCCTGAGGATGTCTCTCTTGAGTCGTGCCACTGTTGCATGACGGGACATCCTTGTGTCGTTTCTCTTCTGCTTTTGCCATGCCACTGTTGAACAGTGGCCAGTCCCTCTTTGCATGACGACCAGTCCTCCTCAGTACCCATCCTGACACCGGGTCTGTTCCTTCATCTGACGGTGGTGCTCCGCAGCCAGTTTTCTGTCCTTGCTTTGGCGTTCTCCTCGGGGACCTCTCGTTCTGCCACCTCAGGTTTCCTGTCCAGTGAGGTTGGCTTTTTCTCTTTTGGACATGCCTCCATCTCTTGGCAGGCCAACGTCTCTTCATCATTTTTGGGTTCTAGTTCGGCCACCATCTCCTTGTGGCTGGCATCCATCTTTTCTAGCCAGGCTCTCCAATCGGCATCTGCCTTTTCTCACTTCTCGCCCGGCGGCCATCCTTTTTCACCAGGCTTCCCATTTGGCATCAGCATTTGCCTGGCTTCTCTTTCTGCAGCCATCCTTTCAATTATGGCTTTTGTCCTTGCTTTGATGGCTTTCGTTTCTGCAGCCATTTTTCTTGCCAAGCAAGCAGGAATTCCATTATTTTTTGAGAATCCATTTTTTTGTGCATTTTTGTGTTCAAGTTCGATCCTGTCGGTCATGTGTGTGAGTCCAATCCCACTTCTGACACCAGTTGTCACGTGTTGGGTATGTCATGCAGCAAATAACTTCACGTGGCCCTCAGATTCAACGATCATTTATTCTCCTTACCTTTTACACTTATATACTCTTTAGACTGTCACAGTCAATCCTTCTGCTGTGTTCACTTCTCAACTTCACTCGGTGAATGCTAGATTTCAACTGCATTCTGCGGCAGCTATCTTCCGACTGTCTTCAGCGGCGGCTATCCCAAGACTGTCTCGGCAAATGCATTACCTTCTTATATATCCGCGGCTCTTGCTACGCAATGAACTTTCTGTTGTCTATCTCCAGGGAAATGCTGCTTCGTTGTTTCAGCCTTCTCTACGCAACGGCTCACTGATGTCACGTTACCATGGAAGTATCTACTCCAAACACGTCACAGTATTTATGACATGTCATACACTGCAGTTATTTGAAACATTCTATACCTGTGGAATGTGCATGCATATGTATGCAAATATGAACAATAACAGTTGGAAAATTCTCCAGTTTTGTTACTAATCCTGTTTCTAATTAATGCTGTTGTTTACACATAAAATTTCTCTTTCTGTGGCAGAATTTGTTCACGTAATCCAGAAACAGCTCTCCTTGCTGCCAACACAATTTTGCAGGATTGCAGAGATCCAAATCCTATAGTGAAATGTTTGGCTTTATCAACATTCTGTTCCTTGCCGTCAATACTGCAAGAACATGCTGGGCCTGTTTTGAATGCTGCTCTGAAAGATGGAAATCCTAGGGTCCGACAAACAGCAGTGATAGGGTGTGGGAGAGTGTTCAAACACTTGCCAGACCTGCTCTTTGAACAGGGTTTTATTGATAGGTATATACAGTTAACTTAATGTTTGTTTGGTATTTCCACCTTCTTTGTGATGTAATTTATGATGGGGTACCCAAAAGAAACCGAACTAATTTTTTTGTGGGCAGAGCTTTTGTAGTACTGCGTTTTGCAGCTATGAGTGCATAGAGCTAACATTCCTGAGTCGATAAGCCGACTACCGTTGCTTCAGAAGGTGAGGACTAGTTTCAGCAGAGTTTATAATGACAACTGTTTTGTGTGATCGTCGTTTTTGCAATGGCTGATTTTCGTGAACAGCGTGAAATTCTGCTTTTTGCTTGGGAAAAGTGGAACAGAAACTCTTGAAATGTTAAAAATGGCGTACAAGGACGATGCTATGGGGAAAACTCAAGTGTTTGAGTGGTTTTCCCGTTTCAAAAATGGTGAAATGTCAATTGATGACAAACCTCGTTCTGGTCGTCCTTCCACGGCCCGAACACATGAAAGTGTTGAGAAAATTCGTGAAATCATCAAGGAAGATCGACGACGGACCATTGAAGAAATTGTGGAGCTGTCGGGAGTGACTTGGAACTCAGTTCAGCGAATTTTGACAGAAGATTTGGGAATGAAAAGGGTGGCTGCGAAATTCGTGCCACGACTGCTGACTGCTGAACAAAAACAAGGTCGCGTGGAAGCATGCTGTGCTTTGAAAGAAGAGTCCCAAGTCCTCGAATTAAAGGAGACATGAAAGGAAAGCGTTTTGCTGATGTTGCTGAGGTGAAGGAAAAAACGACGGAGGCGCTGTCAAGCATCTCAAAAGATGAATTTAGACAATGTTTTGAAAAATGGAATAAAAGACCAGCCAAGTGTATTAGTGTAAGTGGAGAGCACTTTGAAGGGGATTGAAGGTTTGTGCTTAAAATTTGAATAAATAAGTTAAAAAAAATAAGTTCGGTTTCTTTTGGGTACTCCCTCGTACTGTCAGTATCTAAACTATGATGAACTGGAAAGGATTTGGAACTAGCCATGCCCTCATCGATGTACTATCGCAGAATTTGTCTGGAGAGAAACCTTCCAGAACATGTCAGGCTAGCTGGTTCTTGGCTCAGATTCAAACTGAAAACCTCCTGAATACATGTTTAGAGTGTTACTCCTACACAAATCTGCTCAGCATTTCAGCTTTTATGTGGGTCATCAAACAGAGTTACTTTAATGAGCTATCATATTGAAATATTACCAGAAAATTTATCTCTTTCTTAGTCCATAAAAGAAAAGTAAAGATATCTCTGTAACAGGCCATGAAGGCCCATAGGGTTGCAGGACGTTGAGGGTCCCACTTTTTCTAGACAGACGGCTCACAGATGGCAGTGACATAATGTTGTAAAAACAAGTATTTGGTGACTTTGTATTTTTTACTTAATACTGAAAATGAAAAATAAATTCCTCCATGAATGGTTGCAAGTTTTCTTAATCACAATCAATTATAATGCTATCGCTATTCTACACACTTTCAGTTAACTGTTGCACACACACTAGGATTTCCCATCCTCACTGGTCGTTTCCTGGCAGCAGTCTCAATACAGAAACTAGCACTTCAAATCACTATGAAGTCATCTTGTTATTTCATCTTCAGTCACTCTGTATACTCCTCCGTCTCTTGAGATGTGATATCATGCAGTCCATTGGAAGTTCACTGACATTTCAGGGGAATGTACTGCATCCGTGTTAATGGTAAACACCTGTGCTTGTTTGACTTAATCTTTGACCCTGAAGATGGAGGCAGAATGTTTCTCCAAAACATCCTTGAACTTCTACCGGAGGACATTGCTTTTCAAACCTTTCCTGGCTCACAAGATGTTAGGTATTGCAGAAGTATCACAGTTTATGTATAAAGGTCAGCTAAAAAGTAGTGGCAACACCACTATAGTTCTGAAATGACTTTATTACCTGAGGTAAACACACTTACATTCCTTCAATATAATTGCCCCCATGTGTACCACTTGCGAAATTTGTGAAAGGTGTCGTACACCATCAGCGCATGCACTTCTGTTGATGTCCAGCAGTGACACCCTACAGCATGAATAATCTCTTCTCCTGTGTTGTAACATGTCCCTCACAGTGGTTCTTTCATGTTGGCAAAGAGATCATAATCGCACGGACTCATATCGAGTGAGTATGGTGGATGTTGCAGTATCTCCCATCTCCAGCGATGAAGGAGATCCTTGACAATGTCAGCAGTATGAGCCCTTGCATTGTCATGAAGGATGATGGGGTTCATTGCCAACAAGTGTCATCACTTTCTCCTGAGTGCTGGATGAAGATGATTAGGCAGGAAATTGCAGTAATAGGCAGCGTTTACTGTCTGTCATTGAGGTACAGTGTGGTGCAGTATCACTCCATCAATGTTGTATGCCACAATGAACATCACCTTCACATTACTGTGTAAGGTGCACTTTCTTTGGACGAGGAGAGCCAGGATGCTTCCACTCCCGCAGAGCCCATCGATGATCGACATTCAGCAAAGAAACAAGAAGCTGAATTGTGTGGTTGTCAATATGGGGTCATCCCGAACAATGGCTGTCCTGAATGGCATCCCTCCCTTCACGGAACAATTTCACCCATCGTGCCACTGTGCAGTATGGCAAGGCAGCATCACCACATCCTTTTTGCAGTCCCTGATAACAGTTTTGTGCACTACAACCTTGTGCAACTTCAATTTTTATCCAGTATCCATGTTTCGTAAACATGTTAGGGTGCTTGAACTGGGCTCCTGCACTTCAAGACGATGCACAATGCAACTCGATGAAACACAACCAGAGCCACTCACTGCACTACTTCAACTGAACTTCTGCTGTCAGCTACAGATGGCGCTAGTGCCACCTGACACACATCCTTCATGTTACAGCAGTGTTGCCACTACTTTTTATCTAACCCTTGTCGATACTTGGAATCTATTTCCAGAAACAAATTAAGAAAATATTTATACATTTTTACACTGGAATTACCTTTTACCTTGTGTACTGTGCTGTGCTTACAGTATAACAGTTGACTTGTGTAATGTTCCTTGTAGATTATATGAATGTATACGAGACAGTGATCCTGGAGTTGTGACCAGCAGCCTTCTGACCTTAGATACAATACTGGCATCTGAGGGAGGAGTTGTTGTTAGTCGAAACATGGCTGCATACCTCCTACGACGACTGCAAGATTTCCCAGATCCACAGTTGGCAACAGTTCTAGAAGTCATTGGCAAATACAAGCCCCAAGAAGAAGAGGAGTTATTTCAGGAACTAAGTATGCAGTTACGAAACTAGCTGTTGCATGTTACAGTATAGTACATTGTGATTTCTATTGAAGAATGATTCATTTGGAGGTGTCCCCCAAATTAGTGATCATGCTGTAATTTACTGAGGAAAATGGAACTTAGCAACATTGATCGAGGTCCTGTTTAGCTGATTGTGCAGTTTCCTTCAGTCTATGATCCCTTTTGCTATGCTGGCTGGAATAGTTTTGAACATAGAAGCAAAAAAAAAACTCTGTGATTTTAGTCCGCAAGTGAACTATAGCAACTGAACGACCGCCACTTGTCGGCAAAGTTAGTGCCAACTTTTGCGGATAGAGGGTGTCACGTGGTCAGCGCAACGAATCCCCACGGCCGTTAATTTCGGTTTTCTAGACCGGAGCCACTATTTCCTTTAAGTAGCTCCTGAATTATCCTCATGAGGCTGACTGGACCCCGTTTCAGACCCACTACTCAGAAAATCTGGTAGCACCAGGAATCAAACCTGGGCCTCTGGATCTGTAGCCAGGAACTCTGACCACTAGACCACAGAGGCGTTTCCAGGTAGAGGGAAACCAATTTCAGCATCTTCTGTAACCCAATTCTCATATACCAAGGTATATACTCGCCAGGTTTTGTTTTTATCGGCAAATTAATGTGATTTAAAATTAAAATCAGAGCCTCCTCTGAGTGAATCACTGAGTACTTTTTAGCAGTTTTTGAGATCTTGACAGGAATTATTTTAGTGGGCTTGTGTGCGCACACATGATGTGACAGGTTATTCATTATTAAGGTAATACAAACAAGACAAGAATATTTATTAGTTATATATTATGTATACATATTGTGGTGGATTGTTTACAGAGGTATATTTTATTTCCAAAATCTGACAAAGGAAAATGTGCCAGTCTCTTCTTCAGTCATGCAAAATACTCATTGTTAAAGTCTTGAAGTTTGTTTCACTAGTTTCTGTATTGACAGCATTAATGGAACATGAGCATTTTTGTGCTTATCACATGCTTCAACATCTGAACACAGAGAAACACCTTTCCACGTTCATGCTTTGAATGTTTAATATAGTATCAAGCTGACTTTTTATTTCACTGAAAATGTCATTAACATAATTTTACTCCAGAAAAGCAATGATAATGTGTTCGATATACACACATGCTCGCATCATCTGTGAGATTGTGTCCATACAAAATAACAGATCTGTCTTCTGTGGTTTTCTTTTCCAACCAAAATCAGGTAACATTCCGCTGCCACATGTATTCTTTGCTGGCTTAGATCAACCAGTTTCATGGCAGGTGGGTTATCACTGTGACATGTGTTCAGTACAGAAGTCAAAAACTGTGAGCTGAATTAGGAACTAGCTTATCTTACTTGTAGGAGTGTGAATATTTGCATCTACAATTCTGTACGAGCAGACTTAGTAGTCTTAAGATACAGCACACATCCAGATGGACAGGACATAATTTCCACTTAATCTAAAATGTCCTTTGTTTTAAGTGCTCCAAAATGGTTTTCATATTGTCACAATTTAGGGGTGCAACTATAAATGGGGTATGGATTGGTGAATGGATTTATTGACCACTTATACAGACCACTCAGAACTACTGATCAGCTGTTGCTGATTTCCACACCTCACAAATCAGTACATGCTAAGGCCCCCCATACACACACAGTTTGGCCTTCCTATTGACCTTACAGGCAAAACTGTGACAGTTTACCCCCTCCCTTTCCTCCCCATACATGCGCAGATAAAGTGGCAGGCTTCATGCCACAATCACGGTCCTCCAGCCTATAATGTTGAGTCACACACGTCACGTGCCTGATGGGTTTCCCACAGGCTAACAGTCCAAACGATTGGCCGGCCGGCCGCACCACACACGTCAGTTTTGCCTTTCAGTCTTCAACTGTGCAGGCCAAACTGTGTGTGTATGGGGGCCCTAAGTCTTCTCCAGGCTGCAGTGTCTTCACTAGTCGTTACTTGGTAACAACTCTCAACAATTGAGATTCTTCAGCTTCTGTGGTCACATGGCTGCCCACTGGTTAACACTCCACAGCTGAGTTGTCAACTTAATTATAGTGCCATTTCTTTGCAGCCTCCCTTGCAGAACTCAACTCTCAACTGACTGGGTTCACCCCATCTGTCTTCCTTATAACCCCTTAGCACGGACCGAATAGAAAACACCGTTTCAAACAGTAACTCTATTATTGTGTGAGTATTCATTGCTGTGGGAATGTGTTTACCAGTCCCTTGCCTAGAAATGGGTTGCATAACACCGCTGTTTATTTGCCTTATCTCGCAGCTGTACAAACTACAATATTCTTATACATTTTTATTATGCATTATTTGTATGTATTCATAGTTATTCATATATATTTCTTCCCTTTGTTCATCTACCGTACTTCGTTGGATTTTGATAACACTTTTCTACAGGAGACCCTTAGTAACTGGCTTACAAACACCAGCCATCAAGAACTGACACACACTTATGTGGAAACTGAACTGGAGGTTCTCATGGAGGTGGCTTCTCGGATGTGATGCAGTGTGGTCTGTCAGAAGTTTATTGACATTTGAAAGGAACTGTACTGCCAGAAAGCCAAGCAAGCAGAAGTTCAGTACACTTCTACCAGAGTACATTGCATCACATTCCAAAAGATTTTACCTTATACAATATTTCAGACAGCATGGCAAGATATATATTCTTGTGATTAAGGATCTTATAAAAGTTTGATAAAAGTTCTGGACAATAATGGCCGAACAGTCCATGTAAGTACAAGTTTATTGCTTGAATATAATATTTATGCACATTTCTTTTAGGTATACTGGATCCATACCTTGTTCGTTCTTCAGGTGCTGCTGTGGTAGTGAACTGTATTAAGCTGTTCTTAAAGCTCACTGAAGAAAGACACCCTCAACTTAAAAGTGAAATAATACATAGAGTCGTGCCTGTACTCAAGCAGTTTTTATCATCTGGATCTCCCAGAGACTCAACAGATTATGTTCTTGATTTCCTTCTTTTCATGAACCAAGATAGTGATTGGCTCATCCCATTTTCTGATTCGCCACACTTGTTTTATCCTAAAAACTATGACACTGATTTGGCACTTGCCTTAAAAAAACTCCGTCTGTTACCATATATATGCACAGAATCAAATTTCAAAGAAATTCTACATAATTTGGAACAAGAATATTGCAGAATACCAAAGACGTGTACAGATGCAATGACATGTGTGTGTTTAATATCAGGTCGTGTGCCACTCGCTGGTTCTAAATGTCTTAACGTTTTAATTACACTGATGGACAGCAGTGACTGTCATGTGTGTGAAAATGTGCTCCGTACATTGCAGGACTTCAATTTGGCTGGATTTAAAGATGATGAAATAAGATCCATAATAAGGAAAATACTCATGAAAATTGATCTGTCTGTAAAAGATGTTCCATACGTCCTTCCCATCTTATTAGGGGAATTCGGAGAACTGATTGAAGACCAGTCACCTTACGTTTTAGAATCCTTAGCTCACAACTTTGAGCTCTACGATGACTGCATGCAGAGTTTAACACTTACAGCTGCTCTTAAAATGTTTCTCAAGATGCCTGCCAAATGTCAGCACTCTCTTGGAGAAATTATGGAGAAGTGCATTCATGATATGATGAGAAATGATTCAGAAAAGATGCTTGGCTTGCAGCAAAGAGCTTTGAAATATTATCATCTTCTAAAAGCTGATGTTCACCTTGTGAAAAAAATGCTGACCACACAGAATTAGTTCTGAACAGTTTATTACATATACAAAAGAAAATTATACATGGTATATGTTCTTAAATTACTGGCACTAAACAAGGTGCAGAATTAGTATTGAATACTATTTGTAATTAAAAAATAAACATTACTCTTTCCAAGTGGTTTATTAATAAGCTATGTATATATACACTCCACAGTGTTCATGGAAAATTGCTGTCATAAGCTAATTTACAGAGCTTCAGTGTTGTATTCCATCAGTCTTGAAAGCTCTGATGGTTATTGTGGTTGGACTTCTGAGAGATGAAACATCACACTTGTCGGAGACGGGCCAGTCTTTGAGTCAGTTCATCTTGTTCCTGTGATACTTTGGTTGTTGTCCCTATGGTTCCTGTTTGTTCTTGTGGCAATTCCATATTCAGTTCCAAACTGGCAAAAGAAAATAAAGAAAAACTCTGTTACAGGGATAGCTTTACTTTTTTTACTTTTACTTACTTTGCTGGAATGATGTTAAGATCTAGCCTGCCTCTTCCCCTGTTGAATTATGGATGTAATTACATTAGTGGCCCAGTAAATGCAGTTCACGGGGTCTATATAATGAGGCCACACTGCAGTAACATGCTGTCAAAAATTTCAGTTCATTAACCAAACTGGGCTCTAGGGTGTGTTCTCCTTCACTTTGCTGGAAAAAGTCTTCAGATTTTCCAGTAAAAATGTTGTATGCATTTCTTTTTAAATCTAATCACTCTTCATTTTTTTTTTCATTGGCTCTACAGCCCTCATTTGGGCCTAGGCCTACCTCCATGAAAGTCCATTTCACTTCGGTTTACTAGATCTTAGACATACAGTAGGACTCCTTGGGCAGGTAATCAGCTCGTCACAAGGCCTCTACCTGTACACAAACACAAAAAAACGCACACAAACATCCATCCCTGAGTGGGATTTGAACCCATGATCCCGGCTTCCTACCGAGCGAAGACAGTGCATGCCTTAGACTGCTCGGCTACCGTGACCGGCAATCACTCTTCATGCCTAGCCCATTTTTTCAATCTCAAAATTTAGTATTCTATGAGAAACGAAAGTAAGACTGTACTGTGTAAATTAAAACCCTGTGAACATTCTATGAACTTATAAAACCTTACAAAACAACATTATTAAAATCTGTAAGGAAACAACACATTACTGATTCTTGAGCATTTGGATGTAGCTAACTTACCCAGCTTCATCAGCCACTTGCTGCATGAGATTTTCCACATCACTCTGTGGTACAGCGGTAGTGGTTGTCTGTGACATTGTGTTCTCCATGTACGAGCTCTGAACATCCAAATCTTCAAACTGACTCTCAAACTTGTCCATCAGGTTTGAAATCTTTTCAAGATTCATTGATTTCATTGCTGCATCCATTGCTTTAACTACTCCAGCCATAGACTGAGTAACCTAATTTAAAAATAAAAGAGCAGATTTGTACAAAAGTGACATTTTATGAATCCTTGAATTATTTTACAAGCTAAAATATTGGAACAACAAATGTAACTCTCAAAGCTCCTGACATATGAATTAGGATTAGTAATAACTACATTGTGTGAACCTTCGGGTTCCATAAAATGCTGGGAAATTCTTGAGTAGCTGCAGAAATGGTGGCTTCTCCAGAACGGCTCAGCTCCATGAGTAAGTAAGTAATAATTACATTGTGAACCATTCTTTTGTGTAACGTGTATTAAAACAGACCAATGCAATGATATGTGTACCCAAGACTCTAAAGAATTAACCAATCTGAGTGCAGTACGTCTCTCAGGAAGATGGACATGATATGGAGTCCATCTCTTCCAGTGGAAGAAGAAACCTGTACCTCACAGAACAGAAATGTCTCGAACTTGAAGTTGCATGTGTCATGTTATTACCGTAGTTCCTGTGATTTTTTTTTCCAGCATTACAGTACAGATGCAAAGAGGCAAATCTGTGATCTGTGAAATTAAGACCTCGTAGATAACCAGTACACTGGCAGGTTACTAGGAAGTAACAAAGTGACTCACAGTGTTTGAACAAGGTCATGAAAAGTAACCATACATGTACAAGAGATAAACTGACTGCAGTTTCTATAGTATTGTAACGTGTTTTGTTACTGAAGACGCCGTAGAGATGGTTATTTGGTTTATTTAACAATCTACAAGTAACGGCTACTATTATTTATAACGCAGTTGCGGGGTTTCACACTTTATAACCCTAATCGCATTAATCTGTTAACAGTGTTGCGGGGTTTCACGATTTATAACCCTATGCACAAATCAGTTCACTCTGTGTTCAGTAGTCCACACGTTTACAGTAGGGGAGCTATGTATCACTGTATCACACACTCCCAATTACACAATCACACACACGTCCGGTTCTTCTTTCCGCGACGGCTGCTATACTCCAACTGTAGTCGGCTGACTGGAGAACCGTTGATAACACACCTGCTCGTAGTCTTGCTCGGAACTATCTTCGGCGATGGCCATGTTACAACTCGACGCGGCGACTGTTACGTTACAACTCTGCGGTTGCCAATTTACAACTCACTCGTAGCTGCTGTGCAGTCCACTTATATAGCTGTGCACTGTTGCTAGTGTGACGTGGCGTATAGCCTAGCAACGCTGTTACACCTTGGTGACGTCACCGCTGTTGACATGCCTTGCATAGCTTCAAGGTTGCGGGGACTCGGCTAACTTCGGCTCCGCTCGTGACGTCACCGCGGGGAGAGCTGCGGGGTGATGACTCGCCTATTACACGAGCGCTAAGTTACCGCTACGTGCCGCTGGGGAGGTAGGGGTCAACATGTTACACTGCTCCCTCCTTAAGGCTGTTCGTCCCGAATAGCCTAACGGTGCACCCCCGTTCCTTTTCCGTCCCGGAGCTGTGCTTGCGGTGTCTCCTGTTGTTTCGGCTACTCTTCTTGCAGCGACTATTCTTCGTCCGTCACATCCGCTCCCCTCTTAAGACAAAGCTCGTCTCGAGCACTTTCCTTTCAGCTCGCCAGAAGATCCAGTCGTGTCCCATTCATCCATCACTTTCATTCTATGGCACATTCACTCTCTCTGGGGAGGCCGGTTCTTCTATTTTACCGGCTCCTCTTTCGTTTTGGAGGGGGTCGACCCCTCCACAATGTCCAGATTTTGTTTTGTCTTAATCCGACAGAATATCCGGCTATTTGCTTCGCAATTCTCCTGCCGAAGATCTCGTAGAAAGTAGTCTCCCGAGTACTTCTCCCTCCTAGGTGTGATCGCTGTCTTGATCTACACCCTCCGATGCCGTTCTTGGTTGGGTCCTTCAATTGGTTGCTGACTCGTAGTTGCAGTTTCAGACCTCTGTCCTTTATGCCAGTGTTGCGTTCCGGGCCTTTCCACAGTCTCTTCCCGAACGTCCCGTTTCTTGGTGATTTCCGGTGCGACCTTATTCTTGATTTGTCCCTTACGCCTGTGTCCTACACAGCGTGTAATCTTTATTCCGGTGGCGGTCACTTCTCTCCGCTGGCATCCGATGGTTCCCAGGGGTATTTCCTTCTTGAAGGCAATTCTCCGTCGTGCCACTGTCGCGCGACGGGATGTCTTCCAGCAGGGGGCTGCCAACTTCATCTGGGGTCCACAGTTTTCCCGTGTCGAATTCTTCATATTTCGTCGATTTCGGTCCCTGCGCCTTTTATTCTTCGGTTCTCCGACCGGCATTACTTCGGCGTCGATTACGGGTACCTCTCGTTGCTCTGCCGCCTCAGGTTTCCTGTGCACTGAAGTCGGATCTTCTTCTTGACGTGCCTCCATTACTAGGCAGGCCGTCGTCACTCCGACCGGTATCACTGTGGGGACCTCTTCTTGTTGTGCCATCGCAGGTTTCGTGTCCACTGGGCAGGCCAACGTCTCTTCCTGCCAGGCGTTGAAGTCGGCGTCTAATTTCGCCAGCATGATATTTGCTTTTTCTTGACTGAATTCTAACTTCGCCAGAAAATCTTCTCTGTCTTTTCTTCTATTGGCCTCCGTCTTTTCTTGGTAGAATTTCATGTTGCCGTCCATTCTTGCCAGCATTTCTTCTTTGTCGATTTCTCTATCGGGCGACGCCTTTTCTTGGTAGGCGTCTAGTTTTGTCAGCATGACCTTGGTTTGTTTTTGGTTGCGGTCTAATCTTGCCAGGAAATCTTCTCTGTCTTTTTTTCTATTTGCTTCCATCACTTCCCTCTCTTTCCTCCTACATTCCTCCATATCGGCTTTCTGTCTGGCCGCCATTTGCTCCAGACGTTCCATAACTTTTTCCATGTCCATGTTGTAGCAACACTCGATGCACACTAATTCAATTATTTGTCACGTGTGTAAGTCCAAATCCCACTTCTGACACCAGTGTAACGTGTTTCGTTACTGAAGACGCCGTAGAGATCGTTAACTGGTTTATTTAACAATCTACAAGTATCGGCTACAGTTAATTATAACAATGTTACGGGTTTCCACAGTTTACAAACCCTACAACAAAATCTCTTAACACTGTCTTCAAGAGTCTTCAAGTATTAATAACGCGGGAGCTATACAAGTCTCCCTGAAATACACACTCCAGATATAACTGTACTACAGCACTCACTATGTCTGGAAAGCACACAATAAGTCTTCCGCTTGCTGACTTCTTAGTTATCGCACACTCGCAGGCTGCTATGTTTCAACTGTAGTCGGCGGTTACTTTGTAACTCTGCGGTAGCCAATTTACAACTAACTCGTAGCTACTGTGCAGTCCGCTTATATAGCCGTGCGCTGTTGCTAGTGTGACGTGGCGTACAGCCTCAAGGTTGCGGGGACTCGGCTAACGTCGGCTCCGCTCGTGACGTTACCGCGCGTTGCATAGCTACCAGGATGCGGGGTGATTACTTGCCTACTACGTGAGCGCTATGTTACCGCTACGCGCAGCTGGGGAGGTAGGGGTCGACATGTCACAGTATTAATGAAGAACAACTTTTATATCCATTACCCTTCTAGTGGTCAATGCTGACTGCACTCGACTGGCCACAGCATCGACTCTTGCGCTCATCCTTAGGTAATTCAGTGACTGGTTCTTCTGACGAATGGCATTCTCTGCATGGATACGGGCACCCTCAACATTGCCCTTCTGGATAGCTTTCTTGCATTTCTGTTTCTCCACTCTTTCCTCTTTTTCGCATTTTTTTGAATTTCTCTCCAACTCTTTTACAGCAAATTTCAAATTAAATAAATGTTCTAAGAAATTTAGTTAAGATCATATTTGTATTTATTTCCAGTTTTGCATTAGTGACAAAGCACATATCTAATAAATAAAACTAAGATTAAAAGGTATAAATCTTATAAAGTTACATAAATGGGATTAAAGGGAGGAAGCTTATAGGCCAGACACAACTGATACTCTGAACAGCTTCCAATAATGTGAGAACATGATATCAGTTGCGTGTGAATAAACGAAAGTGATGGCTTTAAAGGAGCATATCTTGTTAGATGACAATATAACTCTTGCTTATCCAGCATGTGTGAAGAATGGGTGTGTGCCAGCTACACGAGGAAAAACTCTTCAGTCAAAGCATGTTTTTGCTTTGGTTTTTGAATGGGAGTTTTTTCATTGGCAAGGTAGTAAATTGATGGGTGAACATAAAATTCTTTGGGCTGCTGTCAGAACCAGGCGGTGACTTCACTTTCTACTGCTTCATCGTCGAGAAAATGTTCAGCCAAAACATGATGTTTAAGAGGGCCGAACAAATGGAAGTCTATATATGGACAAATACCGTCTTAAGTGCAACAATTTTATTGTAGTTTTTAATTCTTTTTCTCCTCCACACTACATGTTTCGGCCCTAAATGGCCATCATCAGGTGTGTATCACTCACGTAGCTGTTACACTGCTTGTTAAAATTTAAAATCACCAGTCTTTCTAGTTGTATAAAATCTTTGTTAATCTACACGCGTCGATTTGATTTTTAAAATTAGCACTTTTTAAACTTTAATTCAAGTTAAAATGTCTATAAGATCTCTGTTCTCTATCTTTTTCAGATTTTAAATTAAAAATTTTCAGGGTACATGCCCTATATCTACGGTGCTGCAGCGGCCACTTCTTGTTTTTATCGCTGTTCATGTGTGTTCTGTGTAGGCGCTCTCTGTGTGTGTCGCTGCTTATCTTTAATACGTTTGTATTAATACGTATTAAAGATAAGCAGCGACACACACAGAGAGCGCCTACACAGAACACACATGAACAGCGATAAAAACAAGAAGTGGCCGCTGCAGCACCGTAGATATAGGGCATGTACCCTGAAAATTTTTAATTTAAAATCTGAAAAAGATAGAGAACAGAGATCTTATAGACATTTTAACTTGAATTAAAGTATAAAAAGTGCTAATTTTAAAAATCAAATCGACGCGTGTAGATTAACAAAGATTTTATACAACTAGAAAGACTGGTGATTTTAAATTTTAACAAGCAGTGTAACAGCTACGTGAGTGATACACACCTGATGATGGCCATTTAGGGCCGAAACATGTAGTGTGGAGGAGAAAAAGAATTAAAAACTACAATAAAATTGTTGCACTTAAGACGGTATTTGTCCATATATATTGTGTGAGTGTAACAGGATGCTGAAATATAATATTGTAAATGGAAGTCGCTTGGAGCAAGGTCAGGGCTATATGAAGGATGCTTGAGGACTTCCCACTTGAAATTTCACAGCGTCTCATTTGTCCTGTTGGCAGTATGGCGACACATGTCATGCAAGAGCAACACACCTTTCGTGAAGAGTCCTGGTCGCTTCTGTTCAATGGCCTTACAAAGTTTCCAGAGTATGTTAGAGTATGAGTCAGCATTTACGGTTTGTCCTTGAGGCTGGAATGCTGTGAGCAATATGCCTTCGTGATCCCAGTCACTGCCTGGTTCCGACAGTAGTCCAAAGAATTTTATGCTTCTGGTTTTCAGGGACTTGTGAAATAATGGGACAAGTGCCTCAATGTCATTTTTCAAATCAGTACTCTTATTTATTTAAGTTCTATATCCATTTGTAACTTACTGATATATTGGGTTTTTGGACTTTATCCATCGTCCTAGTTTTTAAGATAACTAATAAAAACACGACGTTTCGGAAACAGATCCAGTTTCCGAAACGTTGTGTTTTTATTAGTTATTTTAAAAACCACGATGATGGATAAAGTCCAAAAACCCCATATATCAGTGTGTTATACACCACTGTCAGAATCCTATAGTAACTACCATTTGTAACTTACTTATTGACTTACCTACATAGAATATATAATCCCCTAAAACCCATTTCTTTCCCCTGTGCCTAGCTAATTAAGCACTACACCATGAACGCGTATAGAGGAGTGGATATATAGATCCGTATTTTCTTGACCTCAGCACTAGTTGGAGATGACTGGTCAGCTTCACACATAGGGAAAGAGCCCGTAGTACCCATTGGATAGACTGGACGGGCCCCACAGCCAGTTTGCACGAGGTGGAGGAGAGAAAATTCTTGACCCTACCGGGACTCCATTTCTTTAAGATCCCCTTTATTTTCCTCCCATTAAACCTTAGTTTCCCAAGTAGTTTCTACTCTTTAGGTTCAATGGTTAAAATGTTACCCCTCTCATCCACACAATATGTTCCTCTTATCTCACCCACCTTAATCTCATCACACTAATTATATGTGAAAAGTACAAATTATGAAGCTACTTAATATACAGTTTTCACAGGCCTGTGTTGCAAAGACAAAATATGTCCAGTTGTAATCATGATAAAGGCTAGAAAGGAGCTGCACAAAGGTAAAGGTATGCCTGTAACAGGCCATGGAGGCCCATAGGGTTGTGAGACATTGAGGCTCCCACATTTTCTCTAGACAATCAGCTGACAGATGGCGGTAAGGTTGTCAGCCTTATGCGCTTCCCACCCTTTACCATCCAAGAAGATTCCCGGTACTCATTTCTGTTGGAGGCTGAGCTGACCCCAGGGCCATAGTGCGGCTGGAAGAATTAGGGAAATTGAAAAAAAATCCACCTCATTGCGACTCACGCCTGTCACCTTTCAGCTTGTAGCATAGTGCCTCAACCGACTGCACAAAAACTGTTAAAATTAAAAATTGAGGTATCAGAGCAGTTTAATAAACAGTCATTAGAAGGAAAAACTAAATACTACATTCAGAACACCTATGAACACTGAAACAAATATACTTTAAAACTTTGTGCTCAGTAACTAAAGCACCTTGGTATGTCTCCAACTTTAGTACCCACAATGATCTGCAAATCCTGTTTGTCATAGAATACACAGATTGTTAACACTCTACCACGAAAACATGCTCAGACACAGTAACAGACTAGCTGTACAAATTAGCAACCCACCAAATGTAAGAAGACTGAGGAGACAGTGGCTGTATGACCTACCACAACCCACAGATGACAAATTAAAAAGGAATACGTGTAGAACAAATTTAGTCTAACTTTAAAGGATGAAATGGTAAACATAAATCTCAAAGTATGAATGGCAATATTTAAAATGGGGGCAAAACACTAATATTACAAGTTGATAAATCTGAAAGCAAAAAAACTTAACATATGAACTTACATTAAGAACATTTACCAAAATATGAAGCATTTTTAATGGTGCTTACAAGTTGGAGTGAACTTGGGTAATTTGGTTTGGCTTGCCGCATCATGCTACGCTCCAGTATAACTTTGCATCTATACTCTTACCTTGTCCTCTTCTATCAAATAAGGCATGGTTGATCAGCCAAATATTCTGCAAATTCATGCAAGTCATATATACACTTAATCTATAACATCACAAAAACCAAATCGAAGTTGAACCAAATAATCTTCTAGCCTAAGGGTTCAAACGAAACGGAATATATCTAATACAAATTAGTGTCAAAAGGATACTCTCCATTGCTGAGGAAGACATTGAAGTTTCTCTTTCAGCAGCCCTAAAAAACACTTCCAAAATAAATATTCAAGATATCTCTTGGACTAACGTATATAAAACGATATATTCTTGTACACCAAATTCGGTGTTAAACAACAATTATCGTCTAAACGTGAAACAATCACTCAGCACCTTACAACTAACACACCCTCGCGCAAGATCACAGTCATTACGATTTACAGTTGACAGCAGTGACGTATGTGCAAATTTCAGAGATAATAATTCCTGGAACGATGGTTGTACCACAGCTGCGGTAAAAGAATGTGCCTTCGTTCTAGGTCATGGCGTAATCTGCTTTTTATTTCCGTGCCAAAATTAAAGTTATGTTTCTCCTATTAAAATGCTCTCTTGGAAAATTTGAGTAAAATTAGCGTAGAATAAAGCTGCTACAGATATGCGAGTGTAAGTCTTAGAACTTAGCATTAAATATCTCACGTACAGCGAAGCAGAAAATAATCGCGTATTTCCAAACTCTTGCTTGCTCACAATTCCCATCCCACAAATAAATTCTGCAGTATCATAAAATGGCCTGAGAACCGTAGTTCAGTATTCCTTTCCAGCTTTCGATAAGGTAATTATTCGATTTTTACCTAATCGCCATCGAATATCCCATTCACATCTTCGTTGATACCAGTATACGTAATAGAATAGCTATGTGAAGATGCCATTTTCGGTTAATGTTGGTTCGTATTAATTGATAGTTGTCAAACATGTTTTTGCAAATCATGGGCAAACAACAATAGTAAATCTACTACTGCTACTACTACTACTACTAACAACAACAACAACAAAGTTTGACCTCTGATGTTTATGTTTACGCTCTTGTGTGGTAGTTAGTTCTAAAATTAATGTCATCTATTTGAATGTGATGTATTAAATTGTATGATTCTTGTGACGTTTGGATTGCGAAGCTGCGTAGTAGTATATTACATTTGCATAATTTGCTTAACGTTATGTTGGTATGGATGAATGCCAGGGATAGAAACTGGCACAGGTGAAGGGAAAACATGGTAACTACTGCCTCTATGTTTGAAGGCAGATACTACACACAGATCTCGACCAAGCAGAGAGCTCACACAAACAATTTGAATTCTCGCAATTATATGAGGTTATGGTGGTTCAATGTATGCAAATTGAAGTATGAATTTTGATTTGATGTGGTTGCGAAACGGAAGTAGACATTGGCGAACGAAGTTACATCTCCATGTTAAACGTATTGCTTGTGTATATGAATGTTATGCTTACTACTACAAATGAAATTAGAAATATATAGAATTCTTTCAAGCCCATAATTTTTGAGGTTATGATGAACTGACATCTAAATGATATTTGTTTTATGATATGTTCAGAAACTTTCGGTTTAGCCCAAAGACTGTCTGTAGAATGTGAAGGAGTTCTAAGAGTACCGTGATGGTGTTATAATTTTTGTATTGCTCCTTGTAGTATAAACATGAAAACGAAAACGTGCTGCTGCTCCTGGGTGCTTGTCATCCAGCAGGCAAGGAATCAGATTCTTCAACTTTCCAAAGGATCCAGCACGGTATATCTGTTTTAATTCATGGTCTGATTACTTTATTATGTGCTGCTTAATCCAATGAATAAATTAAGTTTAGTATATGTTTGTGTTCAATTTATTCAACATAACCCCAAAATTTAGAATGTGTACCAAGTTTGTAATGTTTACTGAAGAACTTTTTTTGGGTTTTGAGTCTATTCTACTTTTACAGGGCTGTGGTATGGGCAGGAAAAGTTGGAATATCCTGCACTATTGATTCTGCTAGAAGGCTGCACAATAAATATTTGTGCAGCAAACATTTCCTGGACAGTGATTTCGCTACAGCTGAAAGGATACACTCAACAGAGTGGTAGTTCCATCGGACTCTGATTCTGCTTCACAGTCGCGCCCACAATCTCCTGTCCCTTCATTACATACACCTTCTTTGGATCCTTTGCCCTCAGGTATAACTCCCACCCCTTACAGCAAAACAGTGGTGCACTCCACTATAACACCTATTTCTATACATGCAGACTGTCCTTCCACTTCCTCTCAGATGTCTGCAGTCCAACCACCACCAACAGCAGATAACACATTTGCAGCGAAAGAAACCTCTCTTCCGTTAAGCTCTGTAAATACAAAGGCTTCTGATGGAGAACTCGGGCATATCAATTGTGAAAGTTCTTCCTCAAAGCCTAGAGCAAAGCAGTCTCTGCTAAAAAAAAAAAAAAAACTTAATTTGTCTTCACTTTTAGAATTGTCACCGAGAGAACGGAAATTATATGAACATATTCGGAATAAAAGGAGTGCATTCTGTGCAGAGTGTTTCATCTTATTTCACTTTAGAGGCTGCCAGATTTTTGGCACCAGTGTTTCGGAACATAGACAGAAACCTAAGGGCAGGGGGTGGAATTTTGATAAAAAAGTGATGGCTCTGTCACTCCTTAAACGTAGCCCTAAATCCTATATCCTTCTTCGTTCACTGCTCCTCCTCCCCACAATTTTTAGTGTATGATTTCTTTTTATGGAGAGTGCCTCAAATTCAAGTGAGTGTATAGGAATCTCCTTATATTTGGTTTTCAAGTACTGCTTTCTTGTATTATGCTGGTGTTTATTACTTTCAGTATCAATACAGTGTACGTTAATACAGAGTTCAGTCATCGTTTTTCAAGTTTGTGATGTATTTTACATCTGCCATAGCTTATGGGAACCCCATAACAGTCATGAATTTCACTCATACTATTTAGCCGTCATATTTGTTCGTTCATGATACAGGAATTTGGCAGTTGTTGGATGAAGGTATTCTGACGTATTTGTGCTTGTGTCTGGAACAAGAATTAACAGCAGTTCAGTTTATTTTTAGGAGTGGATATTGACAAAGCGTTGTGTAACATTCACATATATGGCCCCGGAGGTCTTGATGCCGCCATACCATGGCGAACCAGCCAATTTGTGGTTGCGTGGCATCATTTTGGTGTTTCTCTTAACTGGAGGTGAGTACCATTTTAGGTATCTGTAGGACTACTTGGTGGGGGTTGTAACTGCACTGTTACATGCATGTGGTGCCCAACATAAGCAGGTTAGTGACACATTTATCTAGTTGTTGCTCTTATCCTGAGATGTGTATTCAGTCTGTTCAGAGTAGCTTATCACTATAATGAACACAATGGGTTCCAGTGACATATCCCTTGTTTCTGTGTGCTATTTATCTCTGCTTGACAAATTCTAGCCAGCATCAAAACTGTTACAGTTATGAAAGGTGCTACAATATAGGAGCCATGGTACCTTGGTTGTTTCTTTTCAGTGTATTCCAAATATTTCATTAAGTTTTGTTTATACCAAGATGGGGCCAGCGACTTATGCTGCTGTTTATTTATATGGTTATAATAATAATGTCCCTTCACTTGGGAATCCCAGAGCGCTTAAGAAGAGAGAGACAGGATTTTGCTAGATGATTGTAAATTGAAAAGTTGCAGACAGCTACAGGTGATCCCTAAAGAGGTGCACTAGGTCTGTTGTTTCCAGTGGTGGCTAAGGTGTTGGGAGTGGTGCAACACTGCAGGAGGGTGGTACTTTGAAGGTGATAAGGCCCACTCAGTTGCAGGCATGTCCAAAAAAAATAGTTCCAGAAATTTTGAACAGTCCACATATGCTACTCTTCTTCTCTCTTAACTGTTGTTTGTAAGAAAGCAAGACTTATCCCTCTGCATGCCACACGCCAATTAGAAGGTCACAGAATACATATGTTAAAAACTGTCACAGCGGAAGAGATTGGCTTGATGTTAATTACTTCATGTAACATTTCTATGAATAGGCAGTATCAGGTGTTTTGAGGGGGAAAAACAGGCTTTTAGACTGTCCATACTTGGGGTCATATGAAGGTAATCAGAGTAGGAAGTATTGTGCACGCTTTACACCTCCATTTATAACGAAGCAGCCTTGACCTTTCTAGCACATAATCCTGTGGCAGGGCTTGGCAGTAAAAGTGTTAACTTATGAAAGTTAATACTGTGATTACTTTGCTTGTAAACCAACTGTAGAGAAATAAGCAGAACATGTAGGAACAGAATGTTGGTATTGCATTCATAGAACCCTCAGACATTTAGATGCCACTGAGAATTTGATAGGAATGGAAAATCTTGTACAAGACATGGCTTAACTGAATACATAGCAAGACAGTTTCACAGTCCCATATTGCAGCATGGAACAATAGCTTAACTAGCTCCAATCTGAAGAAAATCTTATACAGAGGCTGTTGATTTTGGATCATTGAAATTTAATGTTAAATGAAGGAAGATCTTAAATTGAAAAAGAAAAAAACGTTATATGGGGATTCCACTGTACAGTGAAATCCTAATTTAATGCGTCTTTGGGGATCAGTGAATTGGAACATTATATTGAGGAAGATAGTGAAAGGAGGAAATTTGATACTGAAATGATCGACTTGTTATCATTGAAATTCAGCATTAAATAAGGGAAACCCTTAAAGTGAGGAATGTTGATTACCATACTGTATTGAAAGTTTAGAGCGTGTTATGTGTAAATAGCTGCAAAATTGAAACGGTATAAATCGCCAGGTAGTTATCAAATTCCGGCATAACTTATTCAAGCAGGAGGCAAAATATTACGTTCTAAGATTCACAATCTAATTCTATTTGGCATAAGGAAAAATTGCGTGATCAGTGGAAGGAGTCTATTATTGTACCAGTTCACAAGAAGGGTTATAAAACTGACTGTAGTAATTATCGGGGGATATCACTGCTATCAACTTCATATAAAATTTTGTCCAATATTCTTCTTTCAAGGTTAAGTCCATATATAGATTAAATTATTGGGGATCATCAGTGTGGGTTTCGACGTAACAGATAAACTACAGATCAGATCTTTTGCGTTCGTCAGGTACTGGAGAAAAAATGGGAGTATGATGAGACAGTACATCAGCTATTCATAGACTTCAAGAAAGCCTACGATTCAGTTAGGAGGGAAGTATTGTACAATATTCTGATAGAGTTTGGGATGCCCATGAAACAAGTTAGGTTGATTAAAATGTGTTTAAACGAAACATATAGTAAAGTCCGTGTAGGTAAACATTTGTCTGATAAATTTCCTAGCCAGAATGGTCTAAAACAAGGAGCTGCTTTATCGCCACTTCTTTTCAACTTTGCCTTAGAATATGCAATTAGGAAGGTCCAGGGAAGC